GGGTGATTGATAGTGTTCTGTTCCAATAACGGCCTAGCCAACTTCTCACTGAAAGCGGCTTTGATGTTTTCGTTGTCGAGCTGCAGTCGTAATGGTTTTGTTTCGAAATCCAGAGGCAGAAAGTACACTGCTCGACTAGATTCTCAGTTGACAGTCACATCTACGCTATTTGAATGAATAGAGCAGTGACAACTAAGTAATGAAATTCGCTGTTAGTGATTTGTATTCTCTACTTAAGCATCCATTGACTACAGGTCGAATGACAGACAGTCAGACTTCATGAACTGGTGCTACGCCAAGACCTGTCCATTATCAGTCTTTCTTTAACCTAATCCTATTCCGGCTAACATTCTTCATCCGAGTGGCCGGGGCTTGGCACGTATAACACATATCTCTCCAAGTCACCTCAGTTGTTGAAGGTTCGAAACCTTATCGACTCGCTTGCCTTTCTTCACCAGAAGCCTCCGCCATACCACGACATTGCTCACATTTTAATCCTATCGCATATGTGAAGTGCTGTGAAGGCATCTTGGATCAAATCCGGTAGCCTTTTCAAATCTACTTTCCACGGCCACTTCCAAGATGTCTTGTCAAGCAGAGGGAGTATAATCGTAAACAGTCAGATATCACATCGGTGCGGGAATTGTCAGATGACGAGCATAACTTTGGTATTCGATCTGAAATCTCATCAGCTGATTCGACATCCCAAGCAAGGTCTGAAACGAATCCAACCACTTGACTTCCAATCCCTAAACTAGGAGTATGTATAGATCAGTCTTGAAGCATCATAGTACAATTGAAAGGCACAAAACGCCTACTTGCCTAGTGAAAGGTACCCCAATATGTGCTCAGGGCGTTCAGGAAACTGTATTTTGTCATTATCTCGCCTAACAGGGCGATGTCGTTTATATGCTCCAAGTGAACCAGGTGCTATCCTGGGAGTAGTTCAGTCCCTGTGAAGTCAGAGGTACCTAGGTTTCCATTAATTAGTGCGCGTGCAACAGAGTTAACCAGAAACAGTGGCAGCAGGGACCATTGGTTGTCAACACTTCAATCGATAGGCGCACATGAGCCCTTACAGAGCTGCGTTGATTCGAATAGAGAGGTTTGGTTTGCATCACAACTGGTTGGTGCTCCATTCACAGTCAGACACTGCCGGAACAAGAGGATGGGTTGCAATATGCCAGCTGCGATCGTCTGATTTTGTACTAACCGCCGACCGATAACTGTTTCCTTCACATTGTACTGAAGCTTGCATTTCACAATGATCTAGCAAGATGTGCTGGTAGGATGCTTTTTCCCTCTAGATCGTACCATACCAAAAACGTTTGCTGGATAGTGGTAAGACGAAAAGTAGTTACCGTCTTAGTGAAAATTGTTACACTGATTGGGGTCCAATGGCAGGATCTTACTACTGGCTGGGTGAGGTGGAACCACAGTAAGGTGTTCCTCTTGGATGGAAGCAGTTCCACGCTTATGCTGCATCCCTGGTGGCGAAAGGAGGTAGCAGAACTTATCAGACCTATGAATGGGTGCTCCCCGACACCCCGCGGTTTGGTGGTGCTGGCTACCTGGGTTCGTCGTCAGATTCAAAATCGAAAAACCGAAACCTAAAACTTCTTAAAAGGCCTTATTTGTAACTGGCCTCAATCGAATGTTCATTTCGCTCAGCAGTCACATACTAACCTTTACTTTCCATTTAGTTCATGGTGAACCATTGTTTCATGATGTGAGCAGCTGTCAGCACTCATATCCCATCAGATCACTGTCCACCTTCTACATCCTCACCTTGTAGCTTTCCTTCACATCTTCCACTCGATACTCCTCATGAGGATGCGAATTCTCGGAACAGCCTGCTAGCTCCCCTGACACCGAGACTCGAACCAGATATTGGAGTTTCAGTGTGCACACCCTTCGTTAAATAGGCTAATCAGCTTCGCTAGCGAAAACTCTGGTATTCTATGTAACGCATGCGTGTTGTGTGTGAGAGACGCATACGAGACCCAAGTGAGGTTATTCACTTGATCACACCCAGTCAATATGGTGAATCCCTGAAATTCACCCTTCGAGTTTCTAGAGATTCGACTAGTTCTCGCGCTCTTGCAGGCGTACAAATAGCTTTGAATCCTAAGGCAAAAATAGCACTACTCGAACGGATTCCCAGTTGACAATAACCTATGTGCTGCTCGATTGAATATCACTGAAAGCCAAGCGCTCAGACATGGTAGTTGTTGAACATGATTTCAATGCACAAGTGAGTAGGCTAAGTCAAGCAGAAAGGCACTTAAGTAACAGTTTCCCAATTCCAACCAAGTGAACAGATAACCACGATCACCTGCTACAACTGTGCTCAGATAACCATTTATTTGGTCACTTTAATCTTGTAGTATTCGTGAAATCATTCCTTTTGATTTGCTGATTATAAATGAGATACATTCAGATTTGTTAATCAACATCTAGTAGTATCATTGATATTCATTATTGCAGAGTTTCATAATTTATTGTGCAAACCTTTTAGAATCCAGTAAACCACTTCCTGCTGAATTTTGCAGATGTAGACAGAAACTATCGCTTTTCACTGGTTTTGAGTCGATAACCATCAGTGTCCATATACGGTTGACAGTTAAAGTCTTTAGTTTTGGACTAAAACTATTCCAGCAGTCGTAATGAAACCTAGGTGAAAATAGTTATATTGACAAACAACTGCAGCTTAGTAAAATATCGAAACAGTCTACTATCCATGTCGTCAGCACGTACGCCAAAAACTAAGACACTGATTAGTGGCACAGGCAACAGGAAAGCACTCAAAAACCTGGAAGGTTAGTTGGTATGAAGAGGGTAGGCTTAGTCAGGCAGAAAGGCACTTAAGTAACAGTTTCCAAATTCCAACCAAGTGAACAGATAACCACGATCACCTGCTACAACTGTGCTCAGATAACCATTTATCTCTAGCCAGAGCAAACTTCAGACATGCAGAAAGATATTGTCTGATGTGGCGTTCATCGACGTCAGCTCAGGGGTGAACACAAATAGACCATATTGCTACCGATTATTGCAGCAGAGGGTCAGTGGAAGAATGCCGCTCCTTCCGATGTGTTGGGCAGTTGCCACACGCCGGTTCGAGCACGTGTCCAAATCGATGTAGGAAAGCTTACCCAGCATAAGCATTGTTAGTGCGACTCGAAGGTGAGAATATTACGACAGCTTTTCAGGCAGTTTCCCTCCGTGGCCAGCGCCAGTCGCATCACCTTGACATTGCAAAAATACCGCTACCAGTAAAAGCGAGCAATGTTACACATATACCGGAGGTCGGAACCTTGTAATCCCTTCCTGTCTTCTACACATTATACAGGAGTCGTATGTAGAGTTTTAAGGAGTAGAGGAAAGTTAGTTGACAATGCCCTGAACCTTTGCCGCCTAAAATGGCTGGGATGTGTGTTATGCATACGTAGTCACCGCCTATCTGCTTGCACCATGTCGGCTAAATTAGGTTCAGTTTGTGAAAAGGCTCGGCGTGGCCAGACTAAAACAAGGCATCAGTGCATGAAATCCTTGACTGTTTGGAGTCCGCATGATAGCGGAAACCAGTTATTTGAGATGTGGTGATGTGGTTCAGAATAGATGTCAATGGTGGAGATGTATGCACAGTTTATCTTCATCTCAACATCTACACTGTATTTCTCCTTCCTCTCCTTTACCACTTTGTGCTGCTTTCTGCTGGTATTCCTTTCTTTCTTCATCTTTCACCTTACTACTATGTTACTTGTTGTGTTGATATGGGTGGTGGCAACGTGAACTGTTACGCAGTAATGGCTGGTCCTATGTTGATATTAATGATGAACATTTATATTCATTCATACCACGCTTTTATTTCCTCATTCTGTTTCTTCAATCTATGACACTAGCATGATATACGATTGCTCATTAAGTATCGAGTATTCTTGTATATGGCTGTGATATGTAGGATTAGAGGTGGAGGCCATGGGAAGCCTTCAGTAACGTAGAAGTAGGCTGTAGCGGTTTTGGTGAAAGAGGTTAGTCAGTTTTTGAGCTTGCAAACCTTAATCGACTCAAGTGGTTGAGACATGTCTGTCCACCGTGTACTCCGTTGTGCAATATTATCTGAAGTGAGTTTAGTCAGAAAAAAGTATAAGACAGCCGTACTAAAATACAGCATCATATCTTTGACCGGTGGTCTGAGCAATGTAGGGGGATCTAGACTTTGCAGTTGGGGTTAATGTGACAACCAGAAGCGATGTTCAGATACTCTGCAGAATATGTTGCAGAATGGATCACGATAGCGTAGCTGCATCCATACATCATTATCATCTTCATCACCGTACCGAATTTGGTCTTCATTTCATTCCTCCTTGTTATCTTTTGTCTAATCTCTTCCTTATTTTTCCGTCCTTGATCTTCTTGTCTTCTACCTTGCTTTGCTGATAATGGGACATAAATTCTAGGTCCCATGTTCTTGCTGACTGACAAGTCCGGAGTGCAGCTTTATTCAACGAAATAAAGGCAGCTCAAATATAGAAAAAAATTACGATCGTTAACGTGTTGTACGCGTATCTGTCTTGAAGCATCTCACGGATGAAGTATATCCAGTAGGACGGATTATCTTATATGATGTGTACTTATATCAAAGGATAATGAAGTAACTTCTTTTCGATTTCTAATTCTATATAACCGACTTCGTTCCTGTACAGTATACGTACTTTGTACTATACTTCGTGAAAATTCAGTGAACGTCGACCGCATGTAGTAATTAGGAACTTTCGTTTCACTCTCGAGTTGTGGCTCATTCGTCTTGGCCCTCTACTTTCATCTGATTGGTCACGGATTTGAATCCTATTGCACCTACTGAGCTCTGGGCAAATGTGACGTGTCGCTGTCACACAATATATATATATATATATATATATATATATATATATATATATATATATATATATATGTATATATATATATATGATATCTTTCTTTTTTAATTTTCGCAGCACATTTCCAAACTTTTGTCCAGTGGACATGAAGACGAAGAATTGCCTGCTTACTCTGAGCCTCATATACCTGAGGTTGCATACCACCGCTTTTACGATTCTCCGTTAAATGTTCCTCCAGATGTTAAGAGTCGCATCATGAGATGCTGTCGCTGTTGCTTAACGGTACACTCTAGATGCTATGGTGTTAGCGATGAAGTATTCAGTGGTCAACCTTCAAAAAGTCAAACGGCTGATACAACGCTAAGAACTTCTTGGCTTTGCGATGCTTGCACAGCAAGCGCGAAACCTGTAAGTTCGTTGCTTTTATGTGTTCACTTTTGCGGATTATGCGCATCACAGTTGGTTGACCTACTGGTAGCAATCAAACTAGTCGAACTTGAGTACCCGTGTTTCCATGCCATTTTATCACTACATACTAAAAGGCATTTAAGAGACTTGACAAAACAATAAGAAGTAACTCCACTCAATCCTATAACATTTGTGAAAAACATTCTAGACAGTCTGCTCGCAAGTACTTGTTATACCAGACTATGCTGAGAACCTAGAGAAGATAGATGATTATTCTTATTTGCTCTTTGGGTTCCTGATGGAACAGAGGGCTTCAGTAGCACGCCTCCATTGCACTCTGTTCTCTGCTGTCTTTTGAACCTGGCGATACGACTGCCCAGAAGCTTTCATTTCTTCCTCATATGATCTCCTCCATATCGCCCTCGCCTCGGACGCCCAACTCGTTATTTCCGATTTCGCTCCCACTCGAGGACTTGGCGTGTGATGTCTCCGAATAGTTTTCTCAGTGTATGCACAGTCCAATCCATCTCCGCTTTCTTCTGCATATTTGTTGGGCGATGGGTTGTTGGTTGGTTCGTTGTTCGGCCAGAGTTCCTTGTTGCTTACTCTTTCTGGCCATCTGATCCTCAGTATCGAGTGAGGGAGGGAGCAGCTGTTGATGAATGTCTGTAGTTTGTTGGGAATGTTTTTCGTGACACGCCAAGTTTCTGAACCATATGGCAGCAGTGACTTGACATTGGTGTTGAAAATCCGGATCTTGTTCTTTGTGCTGAGTACAGTAGATCTCCGCACTGTTTTCAGATTAGTGAAAGCCTGTCTTGCTGTCTTTCCGATCCTGGCTTTGACATCCTCATCTGTGCCGCCACCTGTAGTTGAAGCGATGCTGCCCTGCTAGGTAGGTGAAAGAGACTACTTCCTTTAGGTTTCTCCCGTTAATGGTGATTGGTGTTTGTTGTTGTTGTTGTTGGTGGTGGTGGTGATGGTGGTTGGATATTTTCATCACCTCTGTCTTCTCTACGTTCACTTGAAGTCCCGTCTTCGGTACTTTGCCTCTTCTGTCAACTTGTTAGTTTTTGCCTGTAGATCTTCGAGTTTGTGCGACATTAGACATAAATCAACATTGGTGAAATCTGAATCTTCTCCTGGGGTCTTTTTATAGGTCCAGCCAGCGTATGCCTCTTTTCTCGCTCCTCACGGTTTATCGGATGATCCAGTCCAGTCGACCACAATCAGGAAGATAATCGGTGATGGTAGGAGGCAACCTTGCCTTACTCCTGTCCCCTGTCTTCACTTCAAAAGCATCACTGAGCTTTCCATTGTGAATCACTCGGCATGTGGCGTCCTCATATAGCATGTAGCTGCTGTTGAATGAGGTTGATGAAGGTTTGTGGCGCTAAAACCGTAGTGTTGAAGCAGCTGCCTGCCAAATTACTTGTTGGTCGACGCTATTGAAGGCCTTTTCAGAGTCGATGAAGTTGAGGTAAGTTGAAGAGTTGACTGTCATTCTATGGTCTGTTCTATGATGATGCGTAGCGTAGTGTTGCAAAATAAATTGATCCGCACGTGCCTTTTTTCTCCTGAATCCAGCCAGCCTGTTTCTGTCGTAATTTTGAATCCAGCGCATCTTTTAGTCTCTCCAGGATGATGCGGCCTTATATTTTACCTGGGATGGACAGGGGCAGGAGCATGATTCCGTGCCAGTTCTTGCAAAGACTTAGGTCTCCCTCGTTTGGGATTTTGACAAGGTAGCCCTTCTTCCAATCTGCAGGTGCCTTTCCTTCCTTCCAAATCTTCTGCAGTAGTGGTGTGACGTTGTTGTCTCTGCGTCTGTTTCCAGTGCTTCTGGTGAGATTCCATCTTTTCCTGCTGCTTTCTCGGACTTCAGCAGCTTTATGGAGTTCATGACTTCACTCCTGCTTATGTCGGGGGGTTTGTGTCCACTGATAATTCTGTGGCTGCTGGTGGTACTTCTGGACGAGATGCAGGTGGTGGTGATGGTGGTCGATTCAAGTGTTTTTTGTTTCTCCTCTTTGGTAACTAGGTTTCCTTCACTATCTTCCATTGGTTTCGTCTGTGTTGATCTCTTCCCGGATAGTAACCTGATTATTTGATATGGTGTTGTCAGATCTCTCCTACCTGCAGCCTGTTCTGCTTCACTTGGCAATATGTCGTAGGAGTGTCTTTTGTCTTTGTGCGCACTCTTCTTCACTTCTTTGTCCAGTGCCGTGTTTTGTACGTTGTGTTCAGTTCCTCTTTTCGTTGTTCATCCTTTCGCTGGTTTATCTTCTGCTTCACCATCTTCCTCTCCCTGCTCTATCAGCTTTCATGTATCCGTGGAGATCCATTCCTTGTCTTGTCTCCTCTTCTTCCTTCCTACCACGGTTATGCAGGTTTTTTTTCCACATCTCTTTTTGGGGGTCGGCGGGACAAGAGGAACCAGTGGTTGGAGACTCTAGGTGATATGGCTCAGAACCGATGTCAGTGGCGCAGATGTATACACACATTATCCTCATCTTAACTACGCTATACCGAATCTCACCATTTTGTCGCTCCTCTTTCCTTTCTTCTCATGCTTTATATTTCTTTTGACTGCATTCACTTATCTTCATCGTTCACCTCACTACCTTTCTACTTGATGAACTGACGTGAGGTGTGGCAACTCGGACCGTTACTCAGTAATGCCTGGTCCTATGTTGATAGTGATTGATTGACATCTCTTTTTGAGAGTTTCAGTGTTCTTCCACACAGGTTTATTCAGGGATGTTGCTTACTGTCTCCCATTGTTTCCTGATGGCTGACTGACGTGAAGATGTCCCTTATAGTTTCGTTCTTCAGTTGAGTTTCTGTTCCGAGTGTTGAACTCGAACTGTGGTTTATTATCATCAGCTTCTTTGAAGGCTTTCAACTTGATTTTGAAGGTAGGTTGTTTGCACTAGATAGTGAGTGGTGTGAACCTACATCTGCTCCTCTACTTGATCTGATCTTGTGTCCAGTATGCTGCGTCTCCACTTTCTTGAGATTGAGATAAAGTCGATCTGATTTTTGGTGTGTCCATCTGGTTGGTGAAGTCAAATCCATGTTGCTTTGTGAATATCCTTGTGTTTGTACACACTGCCTCCAATCACTAAATTGTTGAATGCGCAGAAGTCTGTAAACAGTTTTCCATTCTCGTTCATTTCACCGAGTGTTTCTCGACCCATGATGAGTTAGTTATCTTCCGGTGTTGTCCGCTCCGAGTTTGGCATTGATGTCGCTCATTAGAATTTTGATGTCGCCATCTGGGTTGGGGTCTTGTCTAGTACTGATTGCAGTTGTCTATAGAATTCCTCCTTCTTCTCTTGATCTGCATTATTTGTAGTTGCGTATTGTAGCATTGAATGATTGTGACTCTGCTTTCTTTTGAGTTGAACCTTACTGTCATGATCCTGATTGTGGAGGAGATTGGTTCCCACTGCATGCGAGAGTGAGAGCCTTCGATGTTCTTGGGGAAAGCATGATAACCACTTTATAACTGAGTGCGCTCATGGTTGTCGTCTGGGTGACGATATCGGAGTAGATTATTGACTCTCCAGTTGACAGTTTGGAGAGACCGCTTGCATTCCATCTGGTTTCTCAGATTCCTAGCACTTCTATGCTATACCTTCACATCTCTTTTGGAGTTTGAGCAACCTTGCTAGGTTCATACATGGTGCATATATGGTGCGGACATTCCATGTCCCCATGTTTTCTTTTGTTTTCATTGAGTGAGAGAAGACACATCGGCCAATTGGCTTCCCGAAGGCTTTCACCAACCGGCGTCATTTCGTCTCTCCGATTCGTGCGAGGAATAAGTTTGTTTTTATTTTTTATATTTCCCTTGTGTTTTGAAGTTTCTTTAGAGAGTGTATTGATTTTCGGGGGTAGGGTTGGTAGCCGTATGCCCAACCTAGCTTCTTTACTAGGGCTTAGGACCGGTTAGTAACCTATGCGACATCTTACAGGACAGATCAATCACGCCAAAAATGTGGGTACATTAACCTTGAGTCCGAAATCGAGTTCACTAACGAACATTTCAGTTTATGATAGGTTGTGTTTGAACGCCTAGGTAAATTAAATGCCCCAATATCTGATGGTTGAACATAGTTTCAGATACGTCTCTGACAATTGTTACGGACGCGTCTAGTTAACATATAAGCACACCGGGATGTGTCTACCACCGTCACGCTACCAGTACTTCTTCATTGTTCCTCACCTTTATGTCTGAATTACTTACTGCCGTCTCCCTCTGTTTGTCTGATTTCATGGGGATTGATCCTATCACAGAAGAATGCTTGGTAGCTCTGGAGTGCACAGATGACATAATCCTGTTAGATGGAGACACCGACAAGATTCATAGTCTTCTGGATACCTTGAGCAGCGATTTGAGAATGTTTGGGATGAGTTGTGTTCTAGGACCGGTCTTCAGAGGTGCCGTGTTTAATAGTAGGGAGTAAAGTGATTGAATGTGTTGACTACTTTACTTATCTAGGAAGTCGGATCATCCGCGGTGAGTCAATGGCCGACGAAATCTCAGCAGGTGCAGAAACGGCTCGATTTAGCTTCGTCAACTTAAGCTATATATGGGACTTCCACGATATTTAGATGTTTATTAAGGGTCGAGTGTACTGCGCTGCATTTCGTTCTGCTCCACTGTACGGCTGTGAAACATGGCGATAAAGTTGGATTATTTAAGAAGGCTTCTGGTGTTTGACCACCGTTGCTTTCGTAGCATAAGCCGTGTATCGAAGTGTCACCGTGTAATGCAGGAGTTGTATGTAGAGTTTTAGGGAGTAGAAGAAAGTCAGTTGACAACGCCGTGAACCTTTGCCGCCTAAAATGGCTGGGATGTGTGTTATGCATACGTAGTCACCGCCTATCTGCTTGCACCATGTCGGCTAAATTAGGTTCAGTTTGTGAAAAGGCTCGGCGTGGCCAGACTAAAACAAGGCATCAGTGCATGAAATCCTTGACTGTTTGGAGTCCGCATGATAGCGGAAACCAGTTATTTGAGATGTGGTGATGTGGTTCAGAATAGATGTCAATGGTGGAGATGTATGCACAGTTTATCTTCATCTCAACATCTACACTGTATTTCTCCTTCCTCTCCTTTACCACTTTGTGCTGCTTTCTGCTGGTATTCCTTTCTTTCTTCATCTTTCACCTTACTACTATGTTACTTGTTGTGTTGATATGGGTGGTGGCAACGTGAACTGTTACGCAGTAATGGCTGGTCCTATGTTGATATTAATGATGAACATTTATATTCATTTATATCACGCTTTTATGTCCTCCCCGTTTACGTGATTTCTTCTCGTTGTTTTTTAGACGTGCGTCTTTTGCTATATGCGTGGTGGAGCTATGAAAGCTTTGGCTAACGTAAATAATGCTTATACTGGTCGACCATACTGGGCCCATTTAATCTGTGCATTGGCTACCCCTGGATGTCATTTCAAGGATGTACCTAAAAGATTAGCTTTTATTTCTGAAGACTGTGTTCAATCAGCTGTCACCTCAGCTGAATTATGCTCGAAAGAAAAGGATCATTATACGTTGAATCAAACTCTTAACACAACTTCTGAAAATAAACTTCCTCCAGATCCTTGTCTGTCAAGCTCTTTTTATGTTCCAGTTTCAAATTATTTAACTAAAAATATGAAACTTATTCGTAAGAGATCTCTTGATATTAGTTGTAATAACAGTGGTGTTTGGGAATGCCGTCGATCTAGTCAAGAAGACAGAGTCTGCATGTCAAAAACAATAAAGTAAGTTGACTTTTAGGAATATGACTTCAGCATTTCTTTGACTTTTTTTGTCTTCATGAAGTTATTTATTGGACGGTTGAATTTCTGCTTTGAACATCGGCTTATTGACAAATTTTTTTCTGCAGAAAAGTGAATGTAACCAATATGCAGCTAGTTATTTAGTTAGCATTGCATATACACTTAACTCTGATTTCGAATATCTCGACGATAATATATTCAAATGGTTCAGTGAAAGGTGATTTTTCATATAAGTTCGGTTGGTCAACTTTCATTTACTGCGTATCACTGTGGCACTATAAGATATGTACAACGCGGTTACTAGATGTAGCTATTGACTGATAAGTGCTTAGCACTAGTCAAAGTCTGTTTATCAAGTTTGCGATGCAGTCAGTAAGGTGATTCATGTGATATTGGCTTTTTACATCTAAAAGTGCATTTGGTTCCAGTGTCGTATCGCTTAGCTTATTGGTAGATAGGCTTTGATCAGTACTGTGGATTCATGAATCAACAGCTGCATAGTTTAGTAGTACAATTGCATGTGTTACGCTCGTATGATTTTGAAATGGTGGAGAATAGTTGTAGCTCAGGTGGATGGTCTTGGTTGTATTGTGTTCTCTGAGCTGGTTGTTTAATCGTAGAGCTTTCATCGTCTTTCTAGACGACATCATCAGCACTAACTTCAGTGTGAGAGAATGGCATTGTGGATAGAGCGACACAGATAAAGTTGAAGTGAAGCTGATGTACTTATTGCGACTCATTTACACAGTTTGAACTTATATATCTATATAGATTCTTCATGATCTATTTATAAGATCAAGTGTAGCTTGCAACATTTGGCTCTGTTTTGCTGCATAGCTTTGAAACCAATATTAAAGATCGACAGTATTAGAAGACTTTAGGTGTTCAAACACCACTACCTTCGTAGTCTAGACCGTGTATTGTGAGAGTAACCAACGAATACCATTGTACTCACTGTCTGCTGGTGAAGGTCTAAAATTTGCATGGATTTCGTAGGGACCTGGTCCTTATTAGCGGAAAGTACTTCAAAGTCATAAGCAGCTTCACTCACCAAGTTCGTGGCATCTTGTAATTGTAACCGACATTTATCTATACTTTAAAGCAACTAGTCCATTTTAAAAATCTAAACAGCGTATTGAAAAGATGAAGATTGTCTGATACATGTCATGGTTTGGCACCATACGTTTTGAACAATCTGGTCACACATGAACTTGTTGAACTATTTACATGATCCTTTTCGTAAATTTTCATATAAGCAGCTTGAAAAGTTTATGTGTGATCAGATCGTTGGAAATGTATAGTTCTAATGCATGTCTCAGATAATCTTCGTCTTCTAATTACGCCGTTTAAACTTATCTATACTTCGTGGAGGTTTAACAGCTTTCCTTGAATCTGGCTCAGTTTGATACTTAGTTATAACACTGGGAGCAATCAACTTTGTTAGGTTGACCTGTTTGAAGCAGCTATTCCGATGGTCTTCAAAACGCAAGTTGAACTCAGCACGCATTAAAGCGTGACCACAGTTCAGACAAATCCTCTAGAAGGAGGGATAGCTCTAAGTACATCCATGCCATTGATAATTTATTGCAGTGTGATCTATATGACGTCTGAGTAACAAGGGTAGAATGCCAGATAAAACAGTAGTGACGACTGTGCCGGTAGTTGGTACAGGCTAGAAACAGATTGTGATCTGTGCAAAGCTGCAGAAGATATACTCCCATCTTCTGATATGCGAGCAACTAGTCCCCATTGATCACCTAAACGAGTTTCATCCGAGTTTAGACGCCTGTACTATGAATTAAAGTCTGTAGCTAGCCCTGCGATATTTTTCGAGTGCACATGATAGTGAACGTCAGTCAGTTGGTGGTAGACCTTATCCTTAACCGCATCTCGGCTGAAGTTTATTGGAGTATAGGCAAAGACGATGAAGAGATATCGTATGCCGTGCCATTTACTTATTACTTCAATTAAACTTTCTAGGCAAGCAGCGGCTACCGTGGCTCGTTGGTGTAGTGGATAACGCTTTGGCTTTTGAATCAACCTGTCCCAAGTCCGAGTCCCTATGAGAACAATATCCACTCACTGGGAGGCAGGCACATCCAGCTGACGAGTCCCAAATAGGACGAAGTGCACATCCTGGATTCCACTGCTAGCCACTATCCCTCATTACTAAACAGCATAAAATTGACTGTTGACGAGGGTGCAGTCTAATTTTCACCTTTGGCTTTGGTGCTCACTGCGACACCAAAAAGTGTGGCTACTGATTGGACAGAATCTACAGCAAAGTACACTGTAAATACACTTGCTGCGGTGACAGATGAATCAGTTATTCTAAATAATTCATTTGTATCTTGTTTGCTGGTCTTTGAAATGCAGCACATATCAATCAACAGCATAATTTTTCAGAGTTCTAGCCACACCTATCCGTTATCCTATTCGCATCAAAGTCTGAGCGTTTAAGGTGGCCACGTCAAGTCTTGCTTAGGGTTTCAAAATAACTGTATCACATATTTCACTAAAAGAAAACGTTTTGAAAGCAACTATATAATGACTGAAAACGACGAAGATAGACCAGAATTCTAAATATTGATAGGTAGCTGAGTTAAACTAGTATATGCCTTAAGACAAATTTAAAAGTCATAAATAAAAGACAAAATAGTCCATCAGTAAAAATAACGGTGGTATTATTTTATTATTATTTCTTCTTTGGGTTCCTGATGGAACAGAGGGCTTCAGTAGCACGCCTCCATTGCACTCTGTTCTCTGCTGTCTTTTGAACCTGGCGATACGACTGCCCAGAAGCTTTCATTTCTTCCTCATATGATCTCCTCCATATCGCCCTCGCCTCGGACGCCCAACTCGTTATTTCCGATTTCGCTCCCACTCGAGGACTTGGCGTGTGATGTCTCCGAATAGTTTTCTCAGTGTATGCACAGTCCAATCCATCTCCGCTTTCTTCTGCATATTTGTTGGGCGATGGGTTGTTGGTTGGTTCGTTGTTCGGCCAGAGTTCCTTGTTGCTTACTCTTTCTGGCCATCTGATCCTCAGTATCGAGTGAGGGAGGGAGCAGCTGTTGATGAATGTCTGTAGTTTGTTGGGAATGTTTTTCGTGACACGCCAAGTTTCTGAACCATATGGCAGCAGTGACTTGACATTGGTGTTGAAAATCCGGATCTTGTTCTTTGTGCTGAGTACAGTAGATCTCCGCACTGTTTTCAGATTAGTGAAAGCCTGTCTTGCTGTCTTTCCGATCCTGGCTTTGACATCCTCATCTGTGCCGCCACCTGTAGTTGAAGCGATGCTGCCCTGCTAGGTAGGTGAAAGAGACTACTTCCTTTAGGTTTCTCCCGTTAATGGTGATTGGTGTTTGTTGTTGTTGTTGTTGTTGGTGGTGGTGGTGATGGTGGTTGGATATTTTCATCACCTCTGTCTTCTCTACGTTCACTTGAAGTCCCGTCTTCGGTACTTTGCCTCTTCTGTCAACTTGTTAGTTTTTGCCTGTAGATCTTCGAGTTTGTGCGACATTAGACATAAATCAACATTGGTGAAATCTGAATCTTCTCCTGGGGTCTTTTTATAGGTCCAGCCAGCGTATGCCTCTTTTCTCGCTCCTCACGGTTTATCGGATGATCCAGTCCAGTCGACCACAATCAGGAAGATAATCGGTGATGGTAGGAGGCAACCTTGCCTTACTCCTGTCCCCTGTCTTCACTTCAAAAGCATCACTGAGCTTTCCATTGTGAATCACTCGGCATGTGGCGTCCTCATATAGCATGTAGCTGCTGTTGAATGAGGTTGATGAAGGTTTGTGGCGCTAAAACCGTAGTGTTGAAGCAGCTGCCTGCCAAATTACTTGTTGGTCGACGCTATTGAAGGCCTTTTCAGAGTCGATGAAGTTGAGGTAAGTTGAAGAGTTGACTGTCATTCTATGGTCTGTTCTATGATGATGCGTAGCGTAGTGTTGCAAAATAAATTGATCCGCACGTGCCTTTTTTCTCCTGAATCCAGCCAGCCTGTTTCTGTCGTAATTTTGAATCCAGCGCATCTTTTAGTCTCTCCAGGATGATGCGGCCTTATATTTTGCCTGGGATGGACAGGGGCAGGAGCATGATTCCGTGCCAGTTCTTGCAAAGACTTAGGTCTCCCTCGTTTGGGATTTTGACAAGGTAGCCCTTCTTCCAATCTGCAGGTGCCTTTCCTTCCTTCCAAATCTTCTGCAGTAGTGGTGTGACGTTGTTGTCTCTGCGTCTGTTTCCAGTGCTTCTGGTGAGATTCCATCTTTTCCTGCTGCTTTCTCGGACTTCAGCAGCTTTATGGAGTTCATGACTTCACTCCTGCTTATGTCGGGGGGTTTGTGTCCACTGATAATTCTGTGGCTGCTGGTGGTACTTCTGGACGAGATGCAGGTGGTGGTGATGGTGGTCGATTCAAGTGTTTTTTGTTTCTCCTCTTTGGTAACTAGGTTTCCTTCACTATCTTCCATTGGTTTCGTCTGTGTTGATCTCTTCCCGGATAGTAACCTGATTATTTGATATGGTGTTGTCAGATCTCTCCTACCTGCAGCCTGTTCTGCTTCACTTGGCAATATGTCGTAGGAGTGTCTTTTGTCTTTGTGCGCACTCTTCTTCACTTCTTTGTCCAGTGCCGTGTTTTGTACGTTGTGTTCAGTTCCTCTTTTCGTTGTTCATCCTTTCGCTGGTTTATCTTCTGCTTCACCATCTTCCTCTCCCTGCTCTATCAGCTTTCATGTATCCGTGGAGATCCATTCCTTGTCTTGTCTCCTCTTCTTCCTTCCTACCACGGTTATGCAGGTTTTTTTCCACATCTCTTTTTGGGGGTCGGCGGGACAAGAGGAACCAGTGGTTGGAGACTCTAGGTGATATGGCTCAGAACCGATGTCAGTGGCGCAGATGTATACACACATTATCCTCATCTTAACTACGCTATACCGAATCTCACCATTTTGTCGCTCCTCTTTCCT